ACTACTAAGACTGAGTCCAATCCAATTTGTGCTCATTTTATTCCTCACTGTACCAAGTTAATCCAAAAAATTTTTGGAAACATCCTTTAGTAACAGCAAAGAATACTATTTCTACAAAACCACAAACATATTTTGAAAAGGTATCATAAAAGAAAAATTATAAACGTAGAAAACTGATACACAAATCTGTTTTAAATCATATTATGGGGTCATTAGTGTGATTCCATTTATTAGCATTCCAGGACTTCAGGCAACTATATTTTCTAGCTCTTCTGCTTAAGACTCTTTGAACCAAACACTATTAAGGACTGAATCTGAAACTTTCTCCAAGAAGATTACTTATTCCAACAGTACCATTTCTTTTCCTCCCCCCCCCCTTATGGAATAGCCATAAGATTATGATAGACAAGTATTCAGTAAAACTAAAACTATTTTTTCCCCAAAAAAATCCATCTCAACTGGCAAGGCCAACCTCTCTCATTTGTATACAAAGTGTTTGTTAAAATCATGATAAAAGGGGCAAGAAGAAAACCTGCTGATTCTTTGTAGGAAAGTATCTGCTCAGCAGATGCTTGAGGACTGTGGAACAGAGTTAATTCCAGCAAAGAATACAAAAGCATTTTCAATCAGTGGCAGTAATGTGCCAGGAATGTAAAACAGAGAACTGATGATAATCCAGATCATGAATCATAAAACCCATATGGAATAGAAGCATTTGAAAACATTATTAGGAAATCCTATTCTCTTTCTGAAATCAGATGTAAAGGATGTGCACAAAATCCAAGCTATTTAAGAACTAGCATTCTGTTCTATGCCTTAAGTGCTTTTACAAGGGCACATTCTACTGTCCACAAAAAAAAAAAAAAAAAATCAGAATGTAGAAGAGCTGCTTCTATAAAACCTTTCAATTAAACATCTAATTTTAGATGATTCAAATAAAAAGAAAATTCCTGACTTCAGTTTGCTTTGAGGGACAAATGAGATCAACCAAGTATGCTTCCAAAACCTATTCTGACATCAGCAAGTTTACAAAATGGCCCTACATGTTTCAATAACTAAGAGAAAAGAATCAAATATCACTAATGAATGCCATGCATCCCATCATGAGGAACATTTTTCAGTTCTTGAAGGCAGGGAGGAATCATTATAGGAAATTATGTCAGATGATACCCATAGAATATTTTAAATTATCATTTATGAGGATAAGACAAATTCTGCTTAAATATAGAATGATATTGGTCTTTTATGGATTTTTTTTTCTCTTCAACACTGTTTTCCATCTTAAGCCCTGCTGCTGCTTCTTTTTCCCTATCCTAATGAAATATAAATACTGCTTTTATTTTCATAAATTGGATTATATCCAGTGATAACTTTGTGGTGGCAGTAAACATACCTATGTAAGAGTAGATATTTATTTCAAAGAATTCCATCTACATAACGCAACTGTTTCCAAAGAGTTGCTTTCAAGCACTGGGGGCTATGTTTGACAGTGTATTGTGCTGTTTGGGGCATGTCATACTAAGCAAGCTAAAGCAGCAAAAACTGAATGCTTTACTTCACAAGAGCAGAAGATTTTTCTGTGTAAAGTTTCAACTGGATACAATCCAATAAATAATCCAAGTGCTTTAGAGGGAGTCATAAAATTAATGCATTTTAAAATAAAAGATAAAACAAGCAACACATAACGAATGCTTTTTTTATAACAGACAACTAGAACTGCAATTCTATGTATGTTGTACTTATAAAGTGGTTAAATTCCATTTTACACACAGAGATGTGCTGTCTGTCTATATGTGTGTACAAGCATACTTATTAGCTGAAACACCTAATTTTTCACACTGAAGAAGTATCTAGAACATTTTACCTCATTTATATTTATAGTTATTTAATTAACATAATCTAAAATTCTGGATCAGAATTGCATCTGAATAAAATATTTGCACTGACAAAATAGTTATCTTTTTAATGAATGGAAGCATTCCTGAAAAAGATTTCTAGTTTATTTATAATATGTTAGTTGCATGTAATCTTAAAATTCTAATTCTGAAGTTGCATTAACCATTAATTCTTTAATGTCAACCACTGCCCCAAAGGTGACATCAATTTGAATTCATATATAATTTGAACACTGACAATGTTAATTGAGAAATCATTTCCATTCCCTCAGTAAAATAAATACAGAGGTAATGGAAATGATTTCTCAAATATCTCAAATTTTACTGAGATAGTTTTATTATCTACATATTCAAAATTGTCATCTGAGACGCCAGCTATTTGAAGTCAAGAAGATAGTTTACATCTTCTTCAGTATTCCAAATATCTATATATTTCTTCTGTTTTTTGCTAATGTTTTCTGCCTTGATTGATTTTTCCTAGAATAAAAAGTTATGATTTTTCTGTGTTTGCTATTTCTCTTCTGAATGTTTTTCCATCCTCATTTTCTGTCCATTCTCTTTTCTAACCTTAATCCTTATTTCTAAAATTCATTGCTCTAATATTGCTTGTTAGCTTCTATCTCTAAGGGGCATTTTCTAAAGAGAATAGAAATTTTTATTATTTTAAATTCTTTTATAAAATGTCATATTTAAATATGTTAAACTATTATCATAAATGTTTATTTTATATAATTAATTGGATTTTGATTCAATGGATTCCCCTGTACCATTTTCAACAAGAAATGAAGAAAGTGATTAAAATCCAAAATAATTCCTTCATAAACGAAAGTCTTTTAATAAAGACTTTTAATCCAGTTTTAATAAAACTGGAATTGTGAGATTATGAGAAGCCTCCTCTAGTTTGTAGGAAATTATCTTAAAACATTAATGCACTTCCTTAAAGTTCCTCTAAATTAATTTAGAGATAAAATTGTAATGAAGTATTGCTATTTAACTGCAACAGCTTTTCCTCCCTCAAACATGGTAGATTAAATTCCAAGCTTTTATGGAGTAAATAGAAGGCTCTCCTATTTACTGAAGAATATACTCACATGAGTACAACCATGTTTTTCATTTTAGAGCAAAACCGTAAGAGCTAGGCCTATGCCAATTAATTCAGTAATTGAGAGTGAGAGAAACAATATCTAAATTTGACAAATAAGAAAATGATGATTAATCCTGAAAATTCTATTTAATATTTAGGAAGTTTAATGGATTGCATTTAATAAGTCTTTTCAGAACATGACAAACTCCAGATTTATGTTTTTTTGCTGAGTTATTAAAATATCCAGAGGAACAATAGATTGCTCAGTAAAAAAAGTTTTGTTTTATGCATGTATAAGAATATATTGGATACTTTCAAATAGCAAGTGGCAATCCAATTAGCAACGTATCAATGTTATACATACATTCAGTGATAGACAATAGATAGCATAATCCGTGTATCATTTGTCTCAAAAATTACACTATTGTATATAGTATATAGTATATATACTATATACATATATATATGTATATTGTATATATACATTTGCTAAATCCTCTATTATCTATAGACAAAAAACTGCATTTAAAAGAAGCAGTGTTCCTATAATAAATTTGAGTGTTTATCCTTAATATGACATTCTTTATGATGCTTGTGCAAATTAGGCTTCATTTTCTTCTCCAGATCCACTCACTGAAGCCAAGAGGCAGAACTAGATGCTTGAAAGAGAACTGAATCAAAGCCTCCTGAGAACTTCTTAGCATGTAGATGCCTGTCCGGGAAACAGTTTCACTAAGATAGCAGAGGCAAGTTTTAAGTACCCACACACATGACTTGGGAGTGGCCAGAAGGTTACTTGCACAAAATTTAGCTTCATAATTTCAAGGAATAGCCCCAAATGATCTGCAGACACTATGCTTTGCACATTCTGTAGTTAATGTTGTAGTTCCAATACATTTGGATCGGGGTGGGTTCTATTTACCTTTACTACCAGTTCGCAGCGGGGCTGCGTGAGCGCACTCGATTCGCTCGCGTGTGCTCATGCTCTTCTGCGCGTGCGCAGAAGCGTTTTGGTGACATCGGGGTTGGAGCCACCCACCGGTTTTACTACCGGTTCTATAGAACCATTGAGAACCGGGGCAACGCACCGATTTGGATACTAAAAAGCTTTCCTCTGAGGAAAAAATAAATAAAATATGGTGGTCAGGATCCCAAACATAAATGACTTCTACAAATGTCTGTATCTGAGGGATACAGATAAAATGGATACAGATATAGAGGGATATAGATAAAATACCTGGTGTTTTAAATCCATTTATCTGTATCTTATCACATTAATTTTTTCCTTCACTGTTTTGAAAGTTCTCTTAATTCCATTAAGACTTCTATTGTTGGAAAACTGGGTCTTGTCTCTTGGGCTACAACATACGCATAGAATTTTCAGCCCAGGATGTCTCTTGTTGGTCAGCTGCAGCCTCTTATATCTTCCCAATTCCCCTTACCCTGCCATCTGGTCTCTCTCTATATTTATATATGAGGAATGTATTACAAGAGACTAGATACACTTCCCTTCTGTAATTTATCGAATCTATATTAAAACTTCAGGTTAATTGCAGTATGAAGGACTGAGAATCAATACTATCTTTGTGTGGGCGCATGGACTAAAATGTATTTTTAACAGAAACTTTTAATTACTATTTGCATTTAATAATTTTCATTCCCATTTTAATGTTTTAAAATGGATCCTTTTACTGTGCAGTCCCCAACTTGACTTTCAAAGAACAAGAGGTACATAATTGCAACCAAATGGAACTGGCACACCCTTCACCTAAAGAATTTTTTAATTGTTTAGTATCTTCTTTACATCTTTTAACATCTACTTGGGGGGAGGGGGTGACAATTGATTTACGGTTTTTTAAAATAAATGTTTACAAACAATATGGTATTTCTCTTTTTAACCAGAAGACTTCAATCACTGTCTAGACATAAGAAAGAAATGTATCCAGGCAGCAGCATACACAGTGAGATCATATGAAATGTCTGATGGAAGCAGTACTGCAAAATAAATACTTCTCTTTTTTTGTATTTGCATTGTGACATCACACACAAAGAGGGAGTTTGGTGGTGATGACAGTGTAATACTGCTTTCAGTTTGATGAAGGCAGCAGAAACTTGTATGCCCCCAGGTAAGAATCTAAATCTCAATCCAAGCAAAAATGAATTCTCACTGTTGAATTCATACCAGGACTGATCTAAATATATAAACCATTTCCTTCTTTTTTGTAATAGTTTGCTCACTTATGATTCAAACACTGGTACAGGAAAATTAGATAGTAAAATAGTTAGGACCACCATCTTTCAATCTTCATTACAGGTAATCTTTATTAGCAACCATAATTGGGACCAATGTTATTGCTGCACATGTACATGATATGACTGCAATGTGCATATGACATCACTTCCCAGTCATTAAATGAATCACTGCAGTTGTTAAGACATCATGTGACTACAACTTGTGATAGTGCTTTAGCGTACTCCATTAATTCTGCTTGTCAGAAGCCAGTTGGGAAGGATGCAAATGACAATCACATGGCTGCACACCAGTTATAAATGTGCATCATTTCTGAAGCATCAAGATGGGGAAATCGCATTATTGTGAGACACTGCAACAGTCATAAATGCAAGAATTAGTCACAACTGTTTAACCAACTTAACTTTGAATGATTGCTAAATGAGGCAGTTGGTAAGCAAGGCCTATCAGTAACGTACTAGCTGCACTTCTTCATCAAGGAAGTAAGATCCAGGCCTTTAGTAATTTCCATATACAATACTGCAATGTATTCCATAAGAAAATTGTGCCTTTAAAAGGGCTTAGAGACTGAGAGTAGTTTAAAAAGTGTAAGAAGTCTCTATTTTTCACTAACCACACTGGCTTCTAATTTCTTTCTAAGGGCAAATAAAAACATTATTTCTTTCTTATTAAACTTAAAATAGTGTTTAGCTGCAGCTACATAAACTCTGCTATATAGCTAGCACTAAGGGAAATCAGTTTGGTACAGAAATTATCCTGCGGAATTACCTGGATTACGAAGCGTCCTCTTTATGGAATGAAATGGGCGTCATCTTTGTTTAGTTTTAAGTGGTTTCTACAGTCCAATTTGATCCAGTACATTGGACATGCTATGGCCAAGGAATATCAAGTGGCAGAGACTAGGAAATGTGCCTTCTCTGCCCTATCTGTTACTCCTGGAACAGTCGCTCTTTAGAGTTCAGGATGTCCCCAATCCTTTTAGCCTTTTGTAAGGGCTTGAAGGCCTGAGCTTCTATGTCTATGAAAGGCTTTGCTTCCTGGATATGTCAACATCTATGATGACATGTTTTGTCAGCTACCATATATATTTAATTTTATACTACATTTAAACTGTTTTTAACTGTTTTATAATTGTTCACTAACCAGAGTCACTTGCTTGAGATGGACAGTTATAGAGATTGAATAAATTTTGTTGTTCTGGGGAGCTCTTTAAAAAAAAAATCTGAAATTTAATTCTCAGTTTTATAAATGATGTTTTTTCTTCTTTATTTATTTATTTGTTTGTTAGTTTGTTTTAAAGTAACACTGTTTAATGCAATTCACCTTCTAGGGTACCATTTCTACTAGATACATTTTATTGGAACAGAGCAAGCCTTTTCTGAACAACTCTCAGAGAAATTTAACTATTTCTTTGTATCCTTGTCAAGTTTAACAAAAGTATGATTTTCACCCATAAACTAGTAAGTATATGAGATACAACTTGAAACCTAGCAATTATGAAAACTAAGAGAAAGTGTGCACTAGAGGGCAGCAAAGACAGTTGAGTAGATTGCAATATTCAACTTTTGAAAATGTACAGTATAAGAACAAAACCTTGTTCAACACAAATCACTGTCATTAAAAAATAATGCAAATGTTCCTACAGCATTTCAATAAATGTATCAGCTACTTTACATGTTAGATGCATTTCTATTGTTACGGAGGACAAACTTACTTTTTTAAAATCTTTTTTTTAACTTCCCCTGTTATTGATGTTGCTTTTAAATAGTGTTTGCTATGTAAGGACATAAAGTTGTAGAAATCACTCACATGGCAGAAAGCACACTATATTTCTTTCTTGTCAAATATTATAAAAATGTATAATCTGAATTTATAAACTTGAAGTGTTTTAAGTAATAGTCTAATAATTTACATAAAATAATTTATATGATCCAGTAAATTTTTATTATTGTTCATTTCTTAAATGATCCATAGAAATAAATATTTTGACGTGTTTTTGGAGGCTGCCAGGCAACAAATTCCTTTATATTTCTATAATACAGCTGCCCAACGTCAGAATCAAATTTTCATCACTCTTAAATAATGCATAAAAGAGATTTTTAGTAATATATGTAATAATGCTTAAACTACTAAACTAATAAATTTAACATTAATGGTAACCTTCTGTAGATTTGCAAAACTTGTACTTTTTGTGTAATTCTTTTTAAAAAATCTATAAATTACCACAGCACCTATTAAATTTTATCAATTTGCCGGAACATATGCTCATCAGACCAGTTATTTCGGTAACATGCCTAAACTAAGCCGTAAGATTTTTTTTTTTTATTATTGCATTCAGACTGGTACTTGATTATGAGAGATACAAACATTATAAGAATCTCATTCAAGCTTTCAAAGCTAGCATGTTTAATTATTATAGCCATTTTACTTTAATAAACATCTACACTTCAAAAATGCCTTATAAGAATTCTTAAGTAAATAATTAAAGTAAATTAAGTAACCTAAATTGTATATAACACTCGACATCCAGCGACCCTGAACAATTTATAAATGACTTAAAATATTAAAAACAAGACAATAAAGGCAACAAGAAACATGGGAAAGTCAGAGATGGGAGAATAGCAAACTGGGTGGAAACAAAAGAAAATAACCTAGGAGACTTCACTAATCCTCACCAAAGACCTGGGCAAAAAGCCAAATCTTCACGCCCTTTTGAAACCCCAACAGGGTGGGGACCATTTGGACTTCAGAGGGAACTTCATTCCAGACAGCAGCCACCACAACAGAGGCGGCATGCTATCAGGATCCCGATAGATGGCATTGCTTACTTGAAGGAATTCAGAACACATCAACCTTGTCAGATTGAATTGGAGACAGATACTATAGGACATAGACAGTCGCTCGAGAAATCAGGTCCTGTGCCATGTTTAAGAGTCTTTATGAGTCACTTAGACTCTTAGACTTTAAGAATCATTTTTAGTTAATCCACTCCTTAAATCAAGATATATCCTTTGAGGCACACACAGAAGCCTGCTTTAATTAGTAACAGAGGTGCTGTGTTTTTATGAAGTCCAAGGAACAATAAGAAAATCTATCCTAAGTTTATTTACAGATTTAAAAATAATATTAATTTTGGGGGGGGTTGTTATATGTGTGTCTCTAAAAGTATTTAAGTCAAAACTAGTTCTTACTTTTTAATCAGTTTGTAAAAGTTACAACTTCTTGTATTTGTTTCTTATAGCATGTCTAGTAAGAGAGACCAGTATAAGAAGTTTTATTTTCTCAATACATGCAGGCCAACATAATGCCACTCCTTTCACCTTTGATAATTACACTGCTTTTCATATTATTGAGAAATCTTTGTCAGGTAGAAGGAAAGGTTGTTAGTGCTCTGTATGTAGATAGCAAAATTAAACTAATTTTCTAATACAAGTATTTTGAGTCACATCTTGCTAAATTAGCATCTCATTGTAAAATACATAGCGAAAATACCTTGATTAAGCCATCAGATATAAATTGCTGATACATTCAATTACACCTAACATATATTCAACCTGATGTCTGTATCTGGCAATGCTATTTTGTTTCCAACATGTTCCTAAAAAAGTACCACTATAGTCTTTTAAATTAAAAAACAAAAAAGAAAAAGAACATACCCAAAATCAACCATACCAAAATTATTAGAATATCTAATTCACTAAATTCACTAAAAGTTTGTACACTTTTACTATTATTTTTTTAGAAATTCTAGTCCTAATCTTTCTAATATTCAATCTTTTAAGCCAATGAAGGAATATTGGGCTAACAACCATTCATATAGAGACCATTCAAAATTACAACGGCACTGAAAAAAATTGACTTATAATCAGGTCTTACACTTACAAATGTCTCAGCATCCCCATAGTTATGTGATCAAAATTTGGGGGGAAAGGGTTGCAAAATCAGGTTTGACACACTTAACAGAAATTCTGGTCCCAATTGTGGTGTTAAGTCAAGAACTACCTAACAACCTTCTCTCAGTATTTCATGAAAGAATCCTGTGAAGCTCTGGAATGCTGCTTCCAATCATTATTGAGCTACATAGATGAATACTATGGAAACAGAACTGTATAATTTGATATAGCCATATTCAGAGACGGCACTTTGGATCTTTGCATTCATTCAACTCTTTTTAGCAGATGCTCCCATAGAAGCTATTTATTCTCCCATACGTTCAAAGATCAGTTAAGAAATTGGTAACATTATTTTTTTAAAAGGAACTGAAAATTATTGTTCAAGTGCTATTTAAATACTACACACACAAACATACACAAATCAATAAAAAAAACAAGAAAATATTTTTTCACAAACTGGTTTTTGAACTGGGGATTGTCAAGGAGGAAGGGAACTCAGAAAAAAATTAAGTGACAGCAACCTCTCAATCAGAACTATATTACTTAAATATGTTGACAATTTAATAGGCCAAAAGTAATTTGAAAGCTTAATTAAATTTTCACACACCGAGTTTTCATCCTCTTCTTCCAGTTCCCTCTGCTGTTCTTCATGCTTTTTGGTCTTAATTTCCATAGCTTCAGTAATCAGGTCTCTCAGAATTGAGACTTGCTTGGCATTTTTAATAAAAGGATGCTAGAAAATAAACCCATAGAGTTATACAACATGGAGCCTACAGACAATCTGTATTCACAGTATAAATAAAGTAACATGTTAGAACAACATGCCAATCAACTTCACAGACCAGCAGGAGAGAACATTTCCCTTTGGACAGCAATTAAAATCTGGAATAAGAGAGCATATGATCTGTTTAACTGCTTTACAACTAAATAGGATTTTCCTTTTTGTTTGTTTAGGTAAACAGCAACCATGAGAAGAATGTTACAACAAAACACAACTGCTTTACAGTTAAGGATATAATTGTCCAAAGGAAATGTGAATTAAATGGTAAATAAACAAATAGAAGATAGCCTGACATAGAAAAATAAACTTTATAATTCATTCAGTTATATCATTTTAATTCATTTTAACAAGCTGACAATGCAAATTAGCAGTCATAAGCAGAGCAGCCACTATAGCATGAGAAACCTGTATTCTAACAGAACAGAAATCACTGAGTTATTGGCAATGATGAAATATATATGAAGCAAAATTAAAATCATCAGAATGGGCAGTTGAAATACAACAAAAACAGATTTATTTAAAGACATACTCCTATTTTAAAAAAAAAAAAAAAATCTCTATCCTCTCTACCAGTACTGTGAATTTGGCCCTTATTAGAGCATATCCCTAGGAGCAGTTAGTGGTGAAGGATGTTGAGAACTGAAGCTCAGAAACATCTGGAGTTTTACAGGATGCCTACCCTAAAAATCATTACTCATTTCCTGCACACAGCACTGACACCTTCCCACAAGACTGTGCATGAGTTCTAGAGATACAGTTTCAGTTGTGTATATAAAATATGGCCTTTTTCTCTCATATTATATAGGCAGTATTTTGTGATTACCCAATCAAATGTTACTATGTATTATGGGCCATGACATCAGTTAGAAAAAATGAACTTGCTCAAGTTTAATAACAGTACAAATTATGCCCTTTTTGTTCCTGCACTGTCCAGAGACAGTTTTTTCTTTTTCTAAATCTTTTTTTGTTGATTTTCCACTCAATGCACACATCCATTATAACAAAGAATTGTTATATATATAACATTTCTATATAACAATTACATTCTTCTGTAACACTATAATTGCTCCTGGTGCTATACTGGGCCAAAAAAATAACCAAAAAGTGAGGGGGCTTTTGAAATAACTTCTCTTGACTTTCCCAAAAGAAAATGATTACAGAGCAAATTCTTAAAATGATTATAATTATATAAAATATAAACATAAAAATTTAGCACAAAGAACAAATATCTGATATATTTATTATGCAATATAAAAAAGTATAAATTAAAAAGAAAGGGTAACACAGGGAAAAAAGAAGGATGAAGAGAAGAAATAATGAGAATGAAAAGGATTGGATAATTCATATCCAAATGTTCTGGCTAGTGAAAAGGGGCGTTGGTCCTACCTGAGACGCACCTTCTCGTTGGGTGGAGACAGCAGCCAGGATGGGTTTGGTCATCTGTTAGGCCGATAGACTGAGCCCATCAAATTTGCTAAGTCCCGCCCTTGTTACCGGGTAAACCCAGCTTTTGGCGAGGACAAGAAGACAGGCTCGGCGTGTGGGACACCAATAACAGAGTAAAGAAGAGAGGCAGATGAGAAACCAAAAAGACCAGACTGGCGAAAGAGAGGGAGGGTCTGGCTGCTGTCTCCACCCAACGAGAAGGTGCGTCTCAGGTAGGACCAACGCCCCTTCTCCATTGTGGGTGGAGACAGCAGCCAGGATGGGACATACCAAAGATCCACGTCCCTACAGTCGGGTGGGACCAGTCTGGTCCGAAGTACCCTCCCCGGAGACTACCCGCTGTAACACTCTACGACCAAAGGCAGCATCTGCCGAAGCAAATTTGTCCAACTTATAGTGTTGAATGAATGGAGAAGGCGATGTCCATGTAGCCGCTCTGCATATTTCGAGCAATGAGGCCTGAGTAGCCCAGGCTGCCGATGTTGCAGCGCTGCGGGTAGAATGCGCAGTCAGTCGAGGAGGTCTCGGGAGAGACTGTAATTCATAAGCCTTGGCTATCGTCTGACGGATCCAACGACCAACAGTCGATGAAGACACCTTGGAGCCCAAGGATACCGGTAGGAAAGAGACAAAGAGGGATTCCGTTTTACGGAGACGTGCCGTCCGTTTAATATAGATCCGCAGGGCCCGTCGGACATCCAAGGAATGCCACCGTCGTTCGAGCCTGTGAGTCGGGTGAGGACAAAAGTTGGGCAGTATAAGTTCCTGCATTCGATGAAAGGTGGTATTAACCTTGGGTACAAAGGTTGGGTCCAGGCGGAGAACCACACGGTCAGCATGGAACACACAGAGGTCCTCCCGAATTGAAAGGGCGGCCAATTCAGAAATGCGCCGGGCCGAGGTGATTGCAACCAAAAAGGCGACTTTGCATGTCAAGAGGCGGAGGCTAGTTGTGCGCAAAGGTTCGTATGGGGCTGACGTAAGGGAATTTAGAACAATGGAAAGGTCCCAAGTAGGATACCTGTGCAACACGGGAGGGCAAAGGTTCGTAGCCCCTCGTAGGAATCGGCGAATTAAAGGGTGTTGTGACAAAGAGGATAAGGATCCAAAGGTAAGGACTGATGAAATCGCCGCGACCTGTCTCCGCAATGTGTTGGGTGACAGTCCTTTGCGGAGGCCTTCCCGTAAGAAAACGAGAATATTAACGATCGAGGCCTGGAGGGGAGGAACTCCAGCCCGATCACACCAGGCACAGAAGGACTTCCAAGTAGCCGAATAAATCCGGTCGGTCGACGGCCTTCTTGACGCCTGAATAATGGAAATCACGTCTGCAGGGATGCTGACCTCCCCAAGCACGTGCCGCTCAATCGCCAGGCGGTCAGACGGAGCCACTGTAGATCTGGATGCCTCAAGGTCCCTTGGGTTAAAGCGTCCTGAGGCTGAGGTAACTGCCAAGGTTGAGTTATCGACAACGACACTAGGTCCGCAAACCAAGGTCTGCGTGGCCAATGTGGAGCCACCAGAATGATCTCCGCCTGTTCCATCAACAACTTGCGAATCACACGAGGGAGAAGAGAAACCGGAGGAAAGGCATATAGGAGCCCCGGGGGCCACGGGGAGCGAAGAGCATCGACTGCCTCTGCCTGAGCCGACGGGAACCGTGAGATAAACCGCGGTAGCTGAGCATTGTCCGACGTGGCAAAGAGGTCGAGCACCGGCATCCCGAAACGCGTCGTGATTTGGTGGAAGAGACGAGGGTTGAGACGCCACTCCGCATGATCTAGACGCTGACGGCTGAGCCAGTCGGCTTGCAGATTGGTGACACCGGAGATGTGTTCCGCCCGTAACGACGCCAGATGGATCTCCGACCAGAGTCCCAACCGCAACGCCTCCGACATTAGAGAAAGAGAACGGGTGCCCCCCTGATGGTTGACATGGGCCTTCGCTGTGATATTGTCCGTGAGGACCAGGACGTGGGAGTTGGACACGAGATGATGAAAAGTCCGAAGTGCTAGGTAGATCGCTCGGAGTTCCAACCAGTTGATGGAGCGACGGGACTCGACAGAGGTCCAGACGCCCTGAGCCAGGTGACCCCGACAATGTGCACCCCAGCCCTGGAGACTGGCGTCCATTGTCACCACCACTCTCTGTGGATCAAAGAAAAAACAACCTCGGGAAAGTGCTGGAGACCGCCACCACCTTAAGGACCTAATTACCTTTCTAGGGACAGAAACCTTCACAGAAGAGGTACCCCTACCCGTTTTCTGGAGAGGTAACAGGAACCACTGAAGTTCCCTCGAGTGTAGCTGGGCCCAAGGAACTATAGAAATGGCGGAAATCATCTTGCCCAGGAGCTGGGACAGGATCAGGGGAGAAGTAGATGAAGCCCGTTCAACCTTGGAGACAAGGGATCTCAAACTCTCCTGTCTCTCGCTCGAAAGAAAAACTCTCCCTGCCACGGAATCTATCAGGGCCCCTAAATGAATCAAATTAGTAGAAGGAATCAACTGGCTCTTTTCCAAGTTAACCAAAAACCCGTGAGAAGCAAGTGCATGGAGAGTGAAGTGCAGGTCAGAGGAAGCTTGTTGCGGAGTAGGAGACAAAATTAGGATATCGTCTAAATAACATTGTAGACGAATAGACTTAGCCCTAAGGGAAGCTGCCAGAGCAGCCAGTACCTTGGTGAAGGTACGAGGAGCAGAGGAAAGGCCAAAGGGCATGGCCCTATACTGAAAATGGCGCCCCCCATAGCAGAACCTAAAGAACTTCCTATGGGAAGGGAGGATGGGGATGTGGAGATAGGCCTCAGTGAGGTCTATAGAAGAGAGGAGATCGCCCCTCCTGACACCGTCAAGGATTGATTTTAGTGAGTGCATCTTAAACTTCCGGTATCGGACATACCGGTTGAGTCGCTTAAGGTCCAGAATGGGTCTCCACCCCCCCGAGGACTTGGGAACAAGGAAGACACGGGAATAAAATCCCGTGCCCCTCTCAATCAAGGGCACTGGTTGAATAGCCCTGATTGAAAGGAGGTGCTGAACCGCCGAATCCATAAGGGATCGTTTCTGGATATCATTAGAAAGCAGACAGCACACAAAAGACCTCGGAGGAGGGGAGAGAAACTCAATGGCCAACCCTGACCTTAAAGTGGCCAGGACCCATTTATCCGACGTGGAACCCTCCCAAGCGGAGACGAAAAGGGCCAATCTGCCCCCTATGGGAGGGTCCAGGATGCACTTAGCGACGGCGACCGGAGAAACGACCTCCTCCCCCTCGAAAGGGCCGTTTGGGCGCAAAGGTCCTACCTCTAGAAGATCTGTCCTGACCGCCCCGTTGTCTGGGCTGGAAATTCCCCTGTGACCTAGGGAGGGAAGGGGAGAAGGGAGATCGGTCATACGGGCGAGATTGGGGGCGAGGAGTGTACGGGCGGAACCTGGAATCCCCCCTGCAAAAGACGACTGGGAGGAATTTCTTTTTGTCCTTTGTCTCAGAGAGGAAAGGATCCAGAGAGTCCCCGAACAGTTTGGGGCCAGCGAAAGGAACAGATGCCAGGCGCCATTTATGTCTGGCATCGGCCTGCCAGTGACGTAACCAAACTAAACGGTGTGCAGTAACTGAAGACGCTAGAGATTTGGCCGCAAAGCGAGCGGCGTTCAGGGTAGCGTCCGCCGAGAACTGTGTGGCAGCGATAATTTTGTTTAAATCCTGTTGTATTCGACTGTCCTCCGTAGTCAACGACTCTTGCAAACGTTGAAGCCATAACAGCGTTGTTCGATTAAAAAAGGAGACAGTAGCAGCTGCTCGGATGGCCCATGAAGCACCCTGATGAGCTCGTTGAAGTACGTGTTCAGCTCGGCGCTCCTCCGGGCGAAGGCCCTCCTCAGGATCACCAGGAACCACTGAGTGAGGTAAGAGGGCCGCCACGGGAGCGTCTACCGACGGGACCTGAAGGAGAGAATCTAGGTCCGGAGCAATACTGAAGTTTCGTCGATCCGCTGCCGTAGGCGTCGGGGCCGAACCCGGTGAAGACCATTGTTTCTTGATAACATCGAGAAATAAAGGAGGAGTAGAAATGGTATCAACAGTCCTAGCTGGTTCAGCGAAGAGAGGGTTTAAGGTACCCTTGGGTGCAGAATCAGAAACTGGCAATGGCGAAGGGGAGCTAAGCTGGGCTGTAGCAATGGCTTTATGTAGTAGGGATTTGAACAAGGCCTGGGGAAAAAGACCCGTGAAGGCCGGCTGTTCAGGAGGCAGATCATCATCCTCTGAGAGTTCCAGGTCATGGGGTTCCTCAGCCGCATGTGAAGGGGATCTGCTGGCCATAGAAGACACCGGTGAGTCAGGAGCATCAATGGACAAAACATCTTCCTGATCCCTACCCTCTCGAGGAGGAGAAACGACTGAACGCACTGAGGCCGCTCTACTAGTGGACTGAAAGTGCGATGCCAACGACTGTTGAACCGCTGCAGCAATCATCTGCTGTATCTGTTCTGTGGACGGGAAAGAATGATGTTGTATCCCAGCAGGAACAGCTTCCTCAGCTGTTTGAGCTGGGGATGATTCCGGAGGAGGAACAGAAGCCGTAGGCGCAGACGAGCCCCATAGATCAGTAGTTTCAATGACCGCAGGGCAGTCCTGAAGGGAAAGGCGATCCCCTTGTGCAGCAGAATCAGATCCCGAAGGAGGGCGAGTCGAGACTGACGGGGTCTCCTTGGCTACTGACTGAGCGCCGCTGGCCTTGGCGCAAATCTTCTTTAGGACCTTGTCCCTACGAGCTTCTGCACGGGAAGGCAGAAATCGGGAAGGTGCCTTGTTGAGTGGCTGAGAAGGGCCAGAAGGGTCTGGTCTGGAAGAAGATCCAGAGGGGACCTCATTAGAAGCAGGAGAAACTCCATGATGACGGTGAGAATCAGAACTGCTCGCCTTGTGACAATGTTTAGACTTATGGGAGGCCTTAGGCATGATGACAGTGAGGAGGACTGTCAGATAGTTGTTAAAGATTAGACACAAGGAGCACAGGTCAAAGGAAGGTGACAGCAATCAGTAATGGTTTAGCCCCAAATACAACACCTGGGAGCGTAGAAAAAACTCCACGAGTACTAGGCAGAGAAAAAACCTGGGCGAAGCAGAGATGAACTATTAATGGTTCACAAGGCTGAGGACCGGGGGGGGGGTGCGAGACCCCACTCAAAGGCGTTATCTTAGCCCAGGCACACACAGTCCACCAACAAAACGTGAGAGGGGGGGGCGCAAAGCTCCACCAGCTACTAATCCACAATTAAGGCCAGGTAAGTCAGCAAACAGCAGCCAGTGCCCTATGACAGCAGGGGGTGACGTACAGCTCCGCCAGGACTCAAAAACAAGAATCGCGCCAAAAATATCCTCAGCCGCTCAAGCGGCGCCGAGGGGAAATGCGCCTAAAGCCGATGGCTCCACCAGCTGATTTGCACCGTTGAAAGAAAACCTGGGGGCAGGTTCAGCCAGTAAGAGCGACAGTGGTCAAAGGGAAAGGCTTCAAGCCTCCCTCAATGCCTTCGGGAGCGTTAAAAACTCCACAGGCAGCTAAAAGGCTGTCAATTAGGTGAAAAGGGCTGAGCAGTTTAAAATCCAAAATGGCGACCGGGAGGTTTGAAAAGGGGGCGCGAAGCTCCACAGGCGCTAGAATTACCCCCCAAGATCCAAAACGGCCACTAAGGGCGACAGTGGTCAAAGGGAAGGGCTTCAAGCCTCCCTCGATGCCTTCGGGAGCGTTAAACTCCACAGGGAAGCTAAAATGCTGACAATTAGGCGAAAAGAAAAAAAGCGGAGCAGTTTAAAATCCAAAATGGCCACCGGGAGGTTTGAAAAAGGGGGCGCGAAGCTCCACAGATGCTAGAATTGCCCCCAAGACCCGAAACGGCCAGTGATGGTGATAAAGGGAGTGCGATCACTCCACAATGCTCCCAGGTATTCCCCAAATCAAGGGAAGGGGCGCAGAGGAACTCCCACCCACCCCCCAAGTAGCCAGCAAAGCCAGTCACTGGGGAATTTCCTTACTGCCAAGTTGAAATCGAAATCCAGAGAAGATCCAATAACAGTCCAAGTCAAACCAGAAAAGTAGTTAAGCAAAGCTGAGAAAGCAGCCAGGAAAAGAGAAATTGATCAAGAGGATCAGTCCCACACGCCTGTCTAGGCTGACAGACTGAGCCAAAAGCTGGGTTTACCCGGTAACAAGGGCGGGACTTAGCAAATTTGATGGGCTCAGTCTATCGGCCTAACAGATGACCAAACCCATCCTGGCTGCTGTCTCCACCCACAATGGAGAATTGTTCAAAAAATTACTGTTTGGTGCAGGAAACAGATGTAACAGGTTCAAAATAAACATGTTTAAATATCATAAAAGTGAAGAACTCTCAGCAAATGAAAAGGATTCCTCAGGTCTGCTTTTCTGAAAGAATCAATCACTTGCTGAGAAATCTTCCTTTTCTTGTTTACCAAGAAGTTCAAGAAATTACAGTGAGCCCCTATTACTCACTGTGGAAACACTGAAGAATTTTCTGTCAGCTATTAAGTAAAGAAAAAGTAATTCAGTGGGGGTGAACAGGGAGATTTTCATCTAACTGAGCACACATGCAAATTTTCCTGGGTGATAGCTTCTTGGGGGAAAAAATAGCTGCATACAGCACTGACCTGCAGAAGGTGAGTTGCGGTAGCTCTCTGCTCAGGATTCTTCACTAAACATTTCTTCACAAAGTCGGTAAATTCATCAGACCAAAGCTCTGGCTTCCGGAATGTTGGAGGGGGGTTTGTGGGAATCATAAATATTGCCTGGAAAAGTGGGGGGATATATGTATTTATTTAATAAATAAACAAGTCACTATTTCTATAATAAAAGAAAGAAGTGCTTCAGGACCAAGCTTCCATTACTGTGTTCAGTGCAAGTAGTACAACGCTAGATCTCACTAGAATTGTGGAAATGGTGAGAACTACATTTTTGCAAATAAAAAAGCATCCATTAACTTTTTACACATTGAAATTATACTGTGTGTTGTATCATTTCCCGAAGTCAATTCAAATATTCTAATATTTCGTTTTCTTGAATATAGAAACTATTTACCTTTAGAGAAAGCTGGCAACTAAGTCCTTCATCACATGTAAAAGGATTAATCTCTGCTATAATTATTTTTTTACAGTTATACAGGACGATATCCTGATTTAAGCAAAAATGATACAATACATTTATATCTCCAAATTAATTCTTTATGGTCTAAGTTAAAGAATGCTGAAGATATATAAAGAGGGCTGTGAAAATATCTACAGACCCCTTGCATCCTGGACATAAACAGTTTTAACTTTTACTCTCAAAACGCTATAGGGCACTGCACGTCAGAACAACTAGACGCAAACACTGTTCCCCCCCCTCACTCTGCCAAACGACTAATTCCCATAACACTGTCAAACTATCTAAAAAGGCAGTATTACCATCATTATTCTCATCTACCCTATTACGTGTCTTTTTATCTTCTTATGACTATAACTTTGTTGCTTATCACTATTGTTATATGTACACTGAAACAAACTCCTTGTGTGCCTAATCACACTTGGCCAATAAAGAATTCTATATGATTTTGTTTCTTAGTTTGACAATTACCAGTTTTTGAATTCAAATTCAGTAAATTGCCACATTATCTTCAACTTAACAAAGCAAACTTGTAATAGATTTCAGAAGTCCATAAGAAAAAGTTGTTTTAACTACTGTTTTTATAGCATTGTCATCACAAAATAAGCTTGGTCTATATAATAATTAACACTGATCTAATGCATACTGACTCAACATAAATTTTGTCACATAAGCTATGAAATACATATATATTTAAAAAGACTACAGCCTTTCAAGATATTCTGAGGGCTATTCGAGAATAATATTGTTGGAAAATATAATTTAAACTACTGAATTTATCAGTGCAGGAATCCAAGTGAAAGCATCCCTGATAAATCTCTGGTTCTAATGTAACTGTTAGAAACTTTCTTCTAGTATTTAATCTGAATTTGCCTTTCAATAGCTTCAGACCTTATTACATTATCTGCAGTCTAAACTGGTAAGGTTTGAACAAACGCTTAACGCATATATATGGTCTACTCTTCAACAGGACTTCTTAAAGAACCAAATTCAACCCAACTACTAATCTAGTAATAATGGAGTGAGCTATTATAATGACATACCCCTTGCTATATATCAATAATACTATAGCTGTAATCAAAAAGTCATTTTATTCACTGATTTCATACTGCTACCTGACAAATTGTCAGGTAATGCAACAAGAAGACAATAGTATGAGTCTTCCCACCCTCATCCTGTTCCTGCATAGTAATTAGTCACCACAGAATTAATCACAACTACCACCACTCCAATGTTTCCAGTCCAGCTTTATACATCCAAATTAAATATTTTCAGCACCTGGAAGTTTGATAAAGAATATGGCACACCAACTTTAAGTTGAATCAGTAATCTGCATAGAAAAGCAGCACATTCAACCGTATTACTAAACAAAACCTGTAATAATTCAATAATACAGTTAAATAATATTGTGGGATTTCTCAAAATATATTTTCTGAACTGCATCTTCATGATGCAGTACTGTACATAAAGACGTGCATAATCAGATAAAAGACAACTCCAGCAGAAAACATAAGGAATAAAAAAATGTCTTTACCACAGGAGAAAATTACAGGTTCAGGGGAAGGCAGTTTTAAACTGAAAGGTTGTTTAGATAGGACTATCATATTTGAACTGCACATATCTGTAGAGTTATTGCAGTGAAGATTTTTACTGCCATTTAGAGGTTACCCAGATTTTTGTAGTCTAGATATGGCAGCCTTAGTTAAAGGCTTCAAACATTAAACCAAAGCTTATTACCAAAATTTTACTATAGGAATCAAACTCCGCATATATTTTACAGTGCTATAATTCTTGCCTGCAACACTACTAGTTGCAACCTCTGAACAATTCAAAGGCCATCCAACATAAAATGCATAGGAGGAGCTTGATATGAACTAGTGAGTTGAAATCCTAAATTTCTTAATACAGACATGAAATTATCTTAAATTCTGGATAAAAGTAACTGTAAGTACCCTCAGTGTTCTTGTATCTAGAGTCCGGTATCTAGTTTTTCATTATCCTGAACAAAAGAGATTGAACTATACCTTAAATACTATGGGTTATGAACCTATTTCTTTGTGTAAGTTGGGCTTGAGTGAACCAATAAGATATTTTGGCATTGATGCTGACCTTCAAAAAGATATTTCAGAATGGTTTATCTATATATTGTCCATTCCATGAAATTACTTTTTAATTATCACATAGCATAGTCAGTTATAATGCTTCTAAATACTATCTCTGGTACTGCTTAAGAATTTATTTATCTATTTAAGCAATTTATTACCTAACAATCTATTCATTTTTCTCTTTCTTGCTGGTTTGATTATTCAAATTAATTTAATTATTTCTTTTCAGGATAAAAAGGATACTTGGACTTTGTCAATACATAAATTTCTAAAGACAACAAAAAAGAAAATTGAAGACATACTCACCTATCCATCCACACTCCATAGCGCCTTCCTGCAGCTCCCACCTGTGGATGGCACCTGCACACCCACTGCACTCCATAGCCCCTGCTCACAGGAACTACCCAATCTCTTATCTGCAGTTCTCACCCACCAGTCTGCTAATCTAGAATTCCTATCTCTTCTGCAGTTACATGAGGTCCTCCCTTAATGACACATGTGCTTCAGGTTTAGGACAGCAACCAGGACTACAGCACTGCAATCACTAAGTAATGCAGTCATGTGCCATCATCCTTTCCAATCACATTGTCTAGTGGAGGAAATTATGGTCCCAATTGCCATTGTAACCCAAGAAGTACCTACATGTGAAAAGAAATTCAACATAAACTTCTAATATTGACCACTTAGATAGCATAAGAACCCACTTTGTCTCTAATCTGGCCCACTGGTCAGGCAATTTCATTACTGGTAGTATTAAATGTAACCAATAAAGAAAGAAATATCAATCAAATGCCTGATGCAAGCAACAAATTCCCTACAGTAACCAAGGCAATTTTTAGACTATTTTTGAACTAGAATAGATCTGTTTTCCACAAATTACTTGGAACAAAGGAAATGTGTCACTTTATTATATTTGTCTAAAGTCAAGACATTTAACATTAGTTTCTTTTCTAAGGATTTCACTTCTGCTCCCATAAAATCATGAGGTATTATGACTTCCTTCAAAGGATAATTGACTATCTCTGTAATCCAAGTCCTCTTTAGCAGATGTTGGTTTAAAATGTTTTGTCTAAAACAAATATTTATAACTGAAAATGTTGCATTATCCATCTTAAACCATTTCATGACACAATACAGGTAGTTCTTGACATACGACAATTGAGCTCAAAATTTCTGTTGCTACAGTTGTTAATGGAATCACTGCAATTCTTAAGTACCATATTTTTCGGAGTATAAGACGCAGCTTAGTTTTTGGGAAGGAAAACAGGGGGGGGGGGGAAATCTGCCTACCAGGTATTCAACTGGCTAGTGTCCTTAGTCTGGCCAGCTTCAGCACATTGGCTTGCTGGTTTTGAGTGTGCACGTGTGCGCTTTTTATCCCCTGCTTGGGGATAAAAAACAGCTTCTAAAGCACAGCTGATTTTTGGAGAAAAGCTTCTAAAGCACAGCTGAGAGTCGGAGGGAGCAGGCAAAGCACGGAGATGCTTCACTCGCTAGCGCCTCGTTATTTTATTTATTTATTTATTCATTCATTCATTCATTCATTCAATTTATATGCTGCCCCTCTCCGAAGACCCAGGGCAGTCTTCGGAGTATACGATGCACCCAAATTTTCAGCCTCTTTTAGGGGTGGAAAAAGTGTGTCTTTTACTCTGAAAAATATGGTAAGTAGCATGCAGGGGTGAAATGCTCCCAGTTCGGACCAGATCGCCCGATCCGGTAGCAATGGCGGTGGGTGGTTCGGAGAACCAGTAGCAAAAATCCCTGCGCCCCCACCCTCACCATGCCCAGCTGAGCTGCACGATCATCAGAGGCTTTTTTTTTTTTTTACTTTTAAAAGCATTTTTTCTACAACCTCTTCCGACGAAAAAATGCTTTTCAAAGTTAAAAAAAAAAAGCCTCTGATGATCGCGCGCTAAGCTGGGATCGTCAGAGGCTTTTCAAAGCATTTTTTTCTGCAACCTCTTGGCCGAAGGGGTGGTAAAAAAAACGCTTTGAAAAGTCTCTGACGATCCCAGCTGAGTTGCCTGATCGGCAGAGGCTTTTCAAAGCATTAGAAAAAATGCTTTGAAAAGTTTTTTTAAAAAAAGTTGGCCACGCCCACCGAGTCACATCCCCCCCATCAAACCACGCCCACAGAACCGGTAGTAGCAGATTTTACATTTCACCCCTGGTAGCATGGCTATTAAGTAAATCTTGTTCCCTATTGACTTTGTCAGAAGGTAGCCAAAGATGATTACATGACCCTAGAACACTGCAACTGTCATAAATATGAGTCAATTGTCAAGGGTCTGAATTTTGTTCATGTAACCATGGGAATGCTGCAACAGTCATGTGAAAAATGGTCATAAATCACTTTTCTCAGTGCTGCAAATGGTTACTAGATGAACTGTTGTTAAGTCGAGGACTACCTGTATCTGATTTTATGGCCATACAAAAATATATCCAACAAAATGCACTGCAACTTGTCACATTGTTATCACTTTATCCATTAGATATCATTCACATTCAATGACACAATGGTAGAGGAAGAAAAAGAATGCAATGCTATTAGCACTTCTGAAAAGCTAGCTTAATTGAGTTTTGCCTCACTTCAGTCATGCAATAGTATTTTCTTACAGAAAGATATAATACAGGGGAAAGAGATGAATTATAATACTTGCATTTAAAATATCAATTAAGGAAACTTAGTTTGAATTAAGGAAGTATGTGTTCCCATAAAGAAACAGTCATAAAGAGCATCTAAAGTTTTCTGTTTAAATTGCTTTTAATATGGCATGGAATTTAACTAGAATGTTTTGCTTTTCTATCTTGTGCCAGTAATTTGGTTATCTATAAATCTGTATCTATGAACAGTATACTCCCTTAAAATGATGACCTTTGGATATTATTTCATGCAAAGTGTGATGCACTTAAATTGGTGCAGTAATACCTGACAAAGAGGGAGGAAAAGATAAGGGAACAATTGCCATATGATTAAGAGTAAAGATGAGTTACTGAGATAGGCAATCTATGTTCAGCTACAAGATTATTTTGCAATTTTACTCACATTGTGATAGCAATACAAAGGGTACAAATGAGTGAAAAGGGATTTCTGAACAGTTTTTACACTCAGATCCTTAAAAGAAACTTGATGTGATAGATATGCACATAAATGAAGGTCCCTATAACCTGGAATTAAAATGCATGTGAAAGGTAAGCAACATTTACTCTGAATGCATAAACAGATGAGAATATAATGAGATGCAATCTGATATGCCAGCAGAAATTATACATCCACATCCCAGTTTTCTCCACGGCAGAATAATTTCAGTTCTAGAACATTTACCTCAAACATGCTCTATTATTAAATAAAGTAGATCTGTCTGACAAGGTGTGCTTTTCAGGAAAAGTATCACAAACATACTGCAAATCAGGACAATGCATGTTATTTGTATTTTGAAAATCTCTGGATTTGTTTCTTTTCTTTTTAAGGGACATTTTACGTTTTCAAAATTATAAATCTGAGAATCCATGGAAAAAATAAATCTGTAATAGAAAATAAACTGTCCATCATTATAATGTCTACTCTTGCATTTGATCAGTAAAAGAGTGCTGTGTAGCTGGAATTAGCTTGTTCCTCCTTTGTTTGCTTACTTGCTATAAAATCCATTCTGATGTAAACTCCAAAGGTTGATAAACTATTTAAAAGCCACCACTGTTTTAACATGACTCAAATCTACAGAATACAATCTGAGGATTCCCATTTTAAAACAAGATTTAATCAGACTGGGGAGAAATTCTTCCTATATTCTGGGGACTAAAACAATTAAAGCAATAAATATATAAATAAAAGGGGAGCTGATTATCGAAGCTAGATGTGCTACAAACAATACAGAAAGTTGGACCACTTATAACTAGTATACTCTAGAGCTCAAAAATAATTCAAGATTCAGGGAGATTCTGTTAATGAGCACTATGTAGATGCCACTAAAATCTCTCTAGGTGGCAGAGTTCCATACAAATTGAGACTTTTGTGTGGCATACTTAACATGAACGTTTGAGATATGTTGGTGATTTTGGAGACCTTAGGAATAAAAAGTGTAATTAATGAAATGCCAAATCATTAAGGTTGCAGACTACTGCATAAATGTCACATTATAGTGGTATTAAAGATAAGTTCCAAAGGTGCTTTTTTAAAAGGCAACTGGACTTTGTTTTTCTTTGAATATGTTTCGCTTCTCATCCAAGAAGCTTCTGAAGAACGAAACAAAGCCCAGTTGCCTTTTGAAAAAGCATCTTTGGGACAACCATAATTGGGATGACTGAGAATCTGCATAGATATTAAAAGGTAAAGATTTTCCCTGTCTGGTTGTGTCTTACACTAGAAGGCAATGTTCATCTCCATTTCCTAGCTGAGGGAGCCAGAGTTGTCGAAGATGCTTCTGTGGTCATGTGGCCGGCAAAATTATAAGTCAAGGTGCACAACATTGTTACCTTCTCACCGAAGTGCATCTACTTGCATTTGCATGCTTTTGCATTAGGACTGCATTAGCTTCTACAAGTTCACTATAACATTTGAAATTCCACTGTTTTCAACTAGCATACTTCATTTTCTACAGACTATATGCCAGCCATACAATTACTGCTTCCTGTTACTAAACCTGGGGTATTTTTTTTAACTGAAGCCAAGGTTAAAAAATAAATACAGAAGTAAGGAGTCAATAATAGATATATATCATTTATACCGAAGTAAAATTTAAAACTATGCTGCAGAGAGGAAGATGATTAGGTCAATAGTATTCATGGAAAATGGATACTTTTATTACACATGTTGTTTTTCAAGGTACCAGCTTAAATAATTATTTACAAGGACTTTTAACTGGCTTACAACAGAACAGTTAACACCCTCTTGAACCTTCCCCAAATTCCACTACTGTACACTTTCATACTTTTCCTTATCTTATCTGTACCTCCTTGATCTTCCTACCTCTTAAATTGCTAATTCAATGATCAAATTGCTTTCCTATCACTATTAGTGAGATTAGGTTTCTTGCATAAACTGCAAACTTAACCTTAGAAACGTCAGCTGTTCTCAAATCACAACTTTCAGTTTATACTGAGGATAACAAGGGCATTTAAAGAAAAATATATCCTGGGTAAAATTTGGATAATTTAAAAAACTCCATACCAATTCAGTGGAGCAAAATACGTATCCAACAAAGTATATCACATTTCTTTTGCAAGACATTTACATAAAAAATAAGTTTTTGAGCTGGAAAATAAACATATAGCATTTTTATAGATAATAAAGAAGTTTAGAATAGATCAAGACATAATTTTGTGGACTTTTGAAAAGTTTTAAAATATTTATAGGTCCATCC